ACGACTCACTGAGAGTTTGAGTCTTGAGAGTGAGATAGTGAGTGAGTTTGTCTTGTGGCCATCTTTCTTAAATGTATTCCGCTGACCACGGCTTTCTTTTAGGAACCCTTACTGTTTTTGTGTATCCAATCGGAGCGCTTACGGCTTCGGTATCTCTACATGGAGCGTACATGGAGCACTCTATTAGCGCCTCTGGATGCAACGCCTTCAATCAGAAAGCTCAGTCATTTCTTGGCTGACCGGCCAAGAGGAGCTCCTGACTGAAGCGTCCTTGGAGCGCTTTTAGCGGCAGCGCCTTCAATCAGGAAGGGTAGTCTTCTCTTGCCTATCGTGCCGAAGGGAACCCCTGACCGAAGCGCCCTTGTTTGGCTTATCTAAGTGTTGCTAGATGTGACAACAGTAGCTGCTATTATGTAACGTTAGATTTTTAATTTTAGATGTACCGACTATTTTCAGATTCCTAATAAGTTGGATTTTCCCGAAGTATAACGACTTTTTTACATATGTTTAATGACACGTTTGCCAGATGTTTAATGAGCTGGGAAAGGTTTTCGCAAACTCGAACAGTATTTCAGAAATTTTTTGGTATTAGCAACGTTAACATTGACACTGAATAATTATATCCGATGAGATCAAATTATGTATACCCTTCAAGATGGCATATAATACAAATTGGATGCTACCATTACAAATATGCCTCTTTTAACATTTTTAGATCGTTCAAGTAGAATGAGAGACAGATCTACTATGAAAATTTTTTTTAATAGTTCTTAATATTACATAATAAATTAGTACGTTAATAAAATAATTTGTAATAACTAACCTGACAACACCAAATTCACGCCAAATAGCAACTCTTGCTGTCGATTCTTTTTTTTTTTCTACTTTAAAAGAACATAACGATAGTGCAAAAACTGGTGAATTCTTTCGCATAAGATGTGGCAATATCTAAAATATTTCAACAAAATAATTACGAATTCATAAATGTATAGTTCATAAATTAAAGAATAAAATTATAGAATTGTCTAATAAATTTTTAATATAATTTTGAATCTAATTTTTAGTTTAATTTTTAATCTTATTTTTTTACCACTTAAACATTTATATTTTTAAGATTAATAAAATTCTTAAAATTTTTTGACATATATTGTATGTATATAAATTTTGTTTATTCATACCATATATTGAAAAGATTCGTTTGATAATTTTTGATCAACAGAGTTCCAAGATTCGGAATTTGAACAACCAAAAAGAAATACGTTCTTTCTACGAGAATGTCCATGATAATCTACAAAAATGAATGGTGAAATCATTAAAATTCGATTGCAATATTCAAGTAAATTTTTTGTGTGGTAAATTGTTGGATGTCGATATCGTTTTGGGCTACTCCAACAGCGATTTAAATCTTCTTTTGTTAGACCGTATCGATTACTAAAAACAGATTTATTTAAAGTTATTCATTTTACGAATTTGTATTATTTTAATTATTTTAAAAAGTTCTATTTTCACGAACTATAATTATTATAAATATTTTGGAATCTAATTGTATTTGATATTATATAAACAGGAATGAAAATGAAAAAAATTAAATATGGCGTTCTTTCTCTCGCTCTCTCTCTCTCTCTCTCTCTCCCTATATATATATATATATATATATATATATATATATATATAGAATAATGTTTTAAAGTTCCATCTTAAGTTTAATATATAGACCTTTATATCTATTATTTGGTATGCATAAGTATATAAATATATATATATATATATATATATATATATATATATAGAGCGAGAGAGAGAGGGAGAATATACATATGGAGATATTACTATACTAATTAATTTAATATACTAATATATTTTACAAATATTTTCGTATCATTTTACATTCATCTTTCAAATTAAAATAAATATAGAACAGCATAATATATAATACTTATACAATAAGATATATTTTAATTTACTTCTTATATGTAACTGAAAGATTTACATTTATACCTACAAAATTAAAATATATAATAAATAGAAAATATCTATCGCACATTCTAATTTCATTTTACTATAATAATAAAGGTTGAGGAATGGATTTAAGTTAGATAAAATATATTTTACGCAATTTCTAATATTAAAATAGTTCTTTTTAATAGTAAATTGAATAGTAAAAGCTAAATCTTATAGGTATATATTCTTTTTAGAGGAATTAACTTATTATATTTTAAAATAAATACTTTTAACTTAAAAGTTGTACACTATAATATATGAATTAAAAAAAATTTTGTGTTTCAAAACGCACATGAATATTATAAAGAAAAGCAATTTTTTCTTATTGAAAAATACTAATTGAAAAATGAAATATAGAAAATAATGATCAATATTATTGTTCAAAGCTGTTCGATTTCCTGGTTCGAACTGCCAATGTTTCGATAGCATTATAATAAATTGGCGTCCACCCCAGCGGATGCTTGGGAAGGAGTTAAGTGGAAGGGCTGTAGAAATATGTAGAATGTGCAGACTTGGTTAATATATGGTTTATTAACAATTATATTAGTAATTATCTGTAATGACTTCTTATATGAGAGCATAGACCTTGTCGTTTCGCAATAATGCGATTACTTCTTGATGGTGACGATGTTTTTGCTGATTATGTAAGGAACAGCAATAGATTGTGCATGCTCCTTGGTAAGGGGTATGCCCCTTGTTGTATACATAACGCGAGGTCTGCTAATATTATAAAGATTAGCATGAAAATGCGTGCACTCCTGGTTAGGACGTGTGGCCCGAATGCTGATAAGAAATACCTTGATACTGCGCTTCTTGTAGTCGTATACTTTCTTGTAATGTTGTCAGCACCCTTGACTGCTTGTAAATTATAGTATACTTGATAGTTGAACATGTATTCCTTGTAATGGCTTCACTGCATTTAGCGTATCTGAGTGGCTAGCTTAAGGCTATAAACTCTGGCCGAATATCGTAGCTAAATAGTGTAGTGACTAATAAACTGACTGACTAAATTACAATGAGCGCTTACGTAGTGTGCTTTCTTTTATATCTGCGCGGTAGCTTACTTAGCTGGCAACAATGAATCGGTGTTGTTATGCGGGAATCTTACATGATGTGCGAGATTACAGATCTAGAAGTTTCGAGAACTCCAAGAAAAGCAAGGCTTTCGAAGTTTGGAAAATTCCAAACGACGTTACTATGCGAAGACTAGATAAACATTGTAGGACATTTAAAAGTAAGGCTTTGGAATATTCAAAAATTCTCGGAATCGAATGTTTACAAATTTTGATAGCTAGAAGTTTCATAATTTTCCGAGAGCCAAAGTCTCGGAAAACACTCCAATTCCGAACAATTATAGTAATTCATGCATTATTAATAGATCAGAATATAAAAAATCCGATATCAGAATATAAAGATATAAAAAATATATGATAAAAAGATATAAAAAGAAAGAATATTGTACAAAATGTAACTCGTCCGTCCGAATTGTTTTATCAACGCCGGTTCGAAGGATACAATTTGATGCCGTTTACAACTCAGAGACCGCGGGTGTTGTGTGGTAGCGATGAAAGGTCACAAGTGGAAGGGATATTATATAATAATACAATATAAATGTGACTGAAGTATTTACTTTTTATTCTATTATTTATTGTTGATAAGGTTGACTATTATTACTATTATTAATTATAGATTAACTCTTGGATTGAAGTAATGTGTTGCGGAGACAAACGTACAGTAATCTATGCAGCTTGATTGTTGAATACGAATGTCGAATGGCGCGAAGTTTCGTTCGTCGACACTAGCGTTGTTTGCATGAGCACGTGTATGGTTGAGGTTATGGATGCAGCGTAATGATTGAATTTTACCGCAGAGTGGCGTGAAGCTTGATTCGTCGACACTCGCACTGTGTGTTGCTTAATTTCATAAGCTTCCGAACTTGAACTAAGGTGAGGGTTGCTTAAAAGGGGGCGCCCTTTGGCGGGCGCGAACTTGACGACGCGTATTGGAATTTATTCTGCACTGTCGTTTTAAGAGGAGCTTCCTCTTCCTTAGTGCTTGTCGATGTAATACTCTGAATCTTAATGTATATGTAATTATTGTAGTAAAAATACTACTTATGAAGACTAATCATTGACTCGTCTCCGGACACTGATATGCGGATTGTTGTCGCTCCCTTTGAACATGTAAGAACGGTTTCTTGAACTGCATTAGTGGACATACGGGTTTATGTCGTCGTTCTTCTGGGACCTGTAACTACTCTTGCTTGAACGTGTTAATGGACAATCCGAAGAAGTGTAAGTCGTCGCTCCTTTTGAACATGTAACGACGGTTCTTGAACTGCGTTATGGACATACGATGTATGTCGTCGTTCCTCCAGGGCTTGTAACTACTGTTCCAGTAACAGTGTTAATGGACTTTCACTAAACTTAACTGAGTATGAAATATCTCAAGGGTATATACTATATTGAGGGAGTATTACTAAAAGAGAAATATCAAGAGTATACTAAGAAGGAAATATCAAGAGGAAATATCTACTAAGAAAGAGATATCAAGAGAGACACTTCAAGAGAGTAATATCAAGAGAATACTACTAAGAGAAAAACTATCAAGAGTGATGAGTATTGAAAATTGGGCCCCTTAAATAGATTTTCTGACTATGAATTTGACTCGAACCCCTTCCCTTATTTTTCGTCCAATCAGAGACTCCTCGGTTATAGTGCCAGGGCAGCGCCTCTTGTGGTTTCGGAGTTAATTAAGGGCCTAGTCGTCTTTTGGTCTTCATGACAAGCAGACCTCTCGTTGCTGCTGCCGCATGCGACAGCATGTATGCAGCGGAAAGGGGGGTATCGCTGACACATCTGGTGACAGCATTACAACTTGTTGACAGCGAGAAGGGGAAGAAAGGTCCGCTTGCAGTAATGCTTGAAGTAGTTACCGAGCGGAACGAAAATGTAGATGTCTAACTATGGGTTTTCCCGTGTTTATAGTATTGTTTTTCCAGATGTTTTATGACACTAATGCTTGATCATTTTGAGCAAGCAAAATTTGAAATCTAAATACAATTTTTACGATGTTACTTGCCAGATGTTTTATTGCATTGAGAAAAAAAGAAAAGGTCTCGCATTCTCGAACAAATATAAAAAATCATTCTTTATAAAAGTGAATTCTTAAAATACATAAGTGATATGTATGTATATATATATATATTAAATGATATTATCATGTGTGTTATATAATATATATATATATATATTTTTTATAGTATTATATAATATTATTACTTATATTACTTATATAATTAAAATCAATAATCAGTTCATTAATGAGTAAAATAGGACAAAAATTAAATATAAATCTACTAATTAACTTAAACATGATTACTTCAAACAGAATAATAGAAATAAAAATGGCGATTAATACGTAGAGAAAGAAAATTAAAAAGGTTTTAAATATTTTAAATTATTCGATATTATTATTTATAATATTTTAAATAAAATAAAATTAAATTAAATAGAATAATATAAAAAATTTATATATTGTAAGTATAGTAGATAGTATAGTAGATTAAAATAAAATAAGTGTTAAGTTTAAAACTGTTTAATCGCAATTATAAATAATCGAAAAAAATATAAATAAAGATCAAAATAGATTTGGAAATTCTATACAATATCATTAATATATCTAAACTGATTATTATAAAATAAATTTTATAATTTAATCTAATGGAGAGCATAAAAGAGAATTGTAAAGATATCATTATACTTACAACATTTTTTTAAAGATTTGATTTGAGTAAATTGATAACTCAAATTTTTAAATGATAAATAATGTAGCTACAATGATTTTCGAATTATAATTCAAAGACTATCAGATCATATGTTAATAAATAAATATGGGAGTTATAATTGAATACATTTTTAATTAATAGGTTATTCGAATTAAATAAATAGTTTCTGTAATAATTATAAAAGTGGTATGACAATATATAAAGGTAAATATACAATTTTTTATTAAACATAATTTGGACATAAACGTATGTGAAGCGTGTGAAAACTTTCATTCTTTTTATCTTAATATAATAAATCCATACTATCTGGGATCAGACTAAAAGCCTCCTTGTGATGGTGGATGGAGACTTGCTGGCAAGTGGAAGGGGCAATGCAATAATTCAATACTGCCTTTAGAGTGTAGTGTCTTTCCCTTTATTGAATATAATAAATATAATAAATAGTCAGTGATCTATGGATGTCGAAATGAATGTATGATGCAATGAATAGGTGAGAGTTTCTTCAATTAATATTAGTGACGATAATTCTGTAAGTGTATTCTTGATGGCCTGGAGCTTGATTCTCCTTCTCCTTATGAATTCGGAGTAGTAGTGGGAGACTCATGCTGGTAGGGGCAGCAGATTGTGGCAGCCTTAGCCGCTGGTGTAGGATAAGCGCTGTAGTGGTCTGGTGGTGGGAGGATGTCCGTGTGACATCACTACTTGACGGAGTGGGAGATTCACTCGTACCGTATGCCGTGATATAGATAGTTTGCGGTATTGGTGTATGTTAGTAGTGTGTTGCTGCTTACGTAGTTAACAGGAGCCGTGTATTAGTAAGACGTAAGAACGTGTGCAATAGCCTAGCTTACGTATGTGTTGGAGTCGATCTCAGTAGTATTGATAGGACGTAAGAGCGTGTGTAATAGCCTAGCTTACGTGCGTGTTGGAGTCGATTTCTAGAATGGCGATCTTGTCGTGATGAATGCTTGATTCAACTAGCAAGAGAGCAGTAATAAGAAACGAGCGTGGTGCGTTGCTTATGGAGGCGTGGGTTCCGGTATAGTTGTGGCATCGCTATTACTTCTTTAGGTTGCTTGCTTGCTATGGCTTCATAATGGCGATTGCAGGTTGAATAGCGAGCTCGATGTGAAGAGCGCGTGATTGGTACTAGCAAGTGCGATAACGTCAAGCGCAGCTCCTTAAATATCCTAAAACAAGCTTGCGGATCCGGTGACTACCGGATCACTCTTGCTGTACCGATTGTTAGAGTGACGTTACTAGAGTCTAGCCTTGGGAAGTTCGTCGGCCTTGTTAGTCGGAATTATAATGTAATATTCGAATATTTTGCGTAGTGCAGTTTCCCGATTTCACAGAATTGTGTTTATGACTCGGCGCGCAAATGTTTCTAAATAAGCACAGGTGTCTTTACCTCTCCCACTTTGTATACCGCTTAAAACTACTGTAATCCGTAACACATACAAAATATTAATTAAGATACTAATATTAAACAATATTAATATTAGTAATAAATTATTCATAATATAATAATAATAATAATATTCATAAATATTATACCAATAACAAATTTTAATAGAAAATATATTAACATTTAATAATAATTAAAGTATAGCTGGTGAAAGTGTTTATTCACAATTTTAAATCTAAGATTAAAAAAAATTGGTTTATAAAATTCTAACAAATAACACTTCTGGATGGAACTACCAGTGTTTCGATAGCTTTCATAATTTACCGCTCGCTCTAGCGGGAGAAAGGAAAAGTTCTAATGAAAGGTGTAGTATGTGCAAACTTCGTTAACATATGGTTTATTAACAGTTACATTTATAATAAGTAGGGTTCACTTCTTATAGAAGAGTGTAAAACTCTGTCTTATCTCAATGATAAGATTGCTCCTTGATTGTGACGATGTCGTGGCCTCTGTTAGTATTGTAAGGACTAGCAAAGATATTCTTACACTCCTGTGTAGCATGTGTGGCTTTGAAGTGTATACAATAAAGTGGCTTCTCCTAATATTGCCAAGAATTAGCAGTAATATGCTCACACCCTTATGTAGAACCCATATGTGTGGCTTTGAAGTGTATGTATGAACTTTCCTGGAGACTATACTTGTTGAGGCAGTGTAGTTTCTCGTCATGCAGTTAGCACCATTAACTGCTTCTAATTGTAGCATATTTGGCAATTAAATTGTGTGTCCCTTGGGGTGGCAGTATAGTTTTCTCTTAATGCAGTCAACACCCTTGACTGATTGTACGTGTGGCAAACTTGGTAATTGCACTTGTGTCTTCTTAGATGGCTTCATTGTGTGATATAACTGGTGTATGGCCGAAAACAGCTGAATAACGTAATGACTTCTAACTGTTGACCGACTGATACACAATGGGCCTATAAGCCTGTTGAATACGCGCACGAAAACTGAAGGCTTGATCGTTCCGTGGCGGCTCTGCTGAGATATACTGACCGTTCCATGGCGGTTCTGCTGAAGCAGACCGTGATCCGTGCCATGGCTTTTTCACTTAGAGGGTTCATTGCTAGATCGGTTCACTGTGGTCGGTTCAGTGCCAGAGAGCGAGGCTTACCGCGTGCTTGCCTTATATACCCACGCGGCAGCTTACAAAGCTGGCAAGAAAGCATCGTTGTTGCTGCACTGCGATCTTACATTATATTATTTCCAGAAAAAATATTCTACTAATATTTCTTGATTTCTTTATATGAAATAAACGAAATATTTTTAAATTTTTAATTAATCCTGAGTTTAAACTTATAACATTCTGGAAATAATGTATTATGTTATATTATAAATGTTTATAAATATAAGTATTATCAATGTTCAATGTTTTTATAATACTCAGTTTTGGTTAATTTTATTTATATTTATTTTATTATTAAAGATTCAACAATTTTTAAATAATTATGATATTAACTTAGATGTAACAATAAAGACTATATAAATGTTTTATGAAAAATTATATTAATAAAAAAGTGTAGATTGAAATATTATTAATCCTTATTAAAATATAGAAAATTCTTTGTTGATATGTAAACTTAACACTTGTAACTATTATTTATTATTTACTAGCTTTTTAGATAGTTTATAAACAAATAATTAAAAATTTAATTTACTAAGGAAATACTTTAATTATATATATTTAACGAATAGCGTTTTCAAGATTTAGTAATTTGTTTTTTAAATGAAATCATTTATCAATCAAATCTATATATGATAAACATATTTTATTAAAATTAAAATATTTTATAGAAAGTAAATATTTTCTTATAACATTTATTTTTATTTTTGAGAAATAATAAATATATTATAAATTTGAAGTTTATAAATTTATTTGAGTTCATAATACAATTTTTATTTTGAACAAATTGAAGGAATAGTTATATAGCAATATAATTAATAGTAATATTAATTAGAAAATTAATATTTTAGTGACATTATCATAGAATTTTAAACATCAAATATTATAAAAATAATTTCGAGTAAAGATTATAATAATGGTTTGGAGTAAAGAAACCTTTTTAAATAGTACAATACTGTTCGAGATTGTGAGAAAAGTTTCTTGCCACGACTTCCCACAGTCGTTGGACATTCAAAACGGTCAATACATCTGGAAAACACTCGTGAATAGTTATTTTATTTATTCTCGCATATCAAAAAACGTGCTCATGATTTTCCGGTGCAGTTAAACGATCTTGTTGTTTACTGCCAAGGACGAGGCGATTCTTAAAAAGTGTCAGATGTACGTAAACTATCGAGTACAAAACATTCCCTAAATTTCACTGCAAACCAAAACCTCGCACGCACAACAACAGGCAATCGACATACGTGCGCATTCGACATATTAAGACAATGCTTACATTGTTCTCAACTACGTTGAATCTTGTCGATCGCGCTAGCCAATCGGACACGCCTCTATAGGACCCCTCATAACGCTAAGTCCCTGAGAAGGAAAAGACGACCAATAGTAGATGTTCCCCACCTTCAGACACTTTTCACCCGATTTACATACGTTGTTATATTCAATCATATATATGTTTACAATTATCTTTTATGATTTCAATATTTCAAAATACATAAAGATGTTTTCATTTATAAGCTGAAGTAACAAGTATCAGTATTATATGAGAAATCGACTTAGCTAACTTTAGTTACGTTCGAAGTCCTTTTTCAATAAGTTTCCTCGTGGTATTATTTTAATTTTCATAATTGTGTAATACACTAAATAAAAGATATCTTTTGAGTTCCTTACAAATTTTAATTTATGTAAATATATAAGAATGAAATACCTTTTACACTTTACAATATGAATCTATTTCCTTCGATATCATTCATTTAAATTTGTTTGAAAATATTATTTTTTTAAAATGTATATAAAATAAATAAATTGATATATATTGAAATTGTGTATATTCTCATTGGATTTTTTAAAGATATAATCAAATACTTTTGTTATATGATAATTATATCCTTAATAACATTTACTTTTAATATTAAATAAAAGTTATTTAATTAAAGGTATTATATTTAAAGTTTACATTTACTTTTTTTATATCCATTGATAATTATGTTATTCATAACAAAAATTAATTAAATAATAATATTGAATCATTTGCATATCTGTTATATAATGGAAAACTGGATAGTTATGTTACTAATATAAAATATACAATCTAGTCGCCTTCTGGATATGAAATGTACAATATATTTGTCTTATTATTAATATAAAATGTACCATGTAATCATCTTGTTATTAATATGAAATATATAAAAACTAAACGAAACATTTATATAAAATTTTTAGAATATATAATATAAAATGATAATATTTTAAAAATTTAATTTAATTTATAGTATTAATTTTAAATAATAAATAAGTTGAATGAAATTTATTAATAGTAATTTTGTCGAGACGATTATTGATAATTTCTTCAAATGTATCATTAACTATATTATCTATTTTCAGAACATTTATCAACAGAATTGAGAATTAAAAATTTTTTTATTAGTATATATACTACCAAATTAATATATTTATACAATTCCAAATTAAGTTGCAATAAAAATTATATTAAAAATATTTATATAATTATGAAAATTATTTATATAACAAAAATCCTGTATTATTCATTTAATTTTGCAGAACATTTAGTAAAATGAAATTAGTGTAATGAAATTTTTTATTTTTAATGTAATTATAATTTATTACTAAAATAATGGGTTAATTATATGATCATTTACATATTTAATCCAGTTTTTTACAATTATATTTTTTATTCTATTCTATAAAGTAATAATTTCAAATACCTTCAAAATTTAGGTACAATATAGTATATTTGAAGTATCTTTAAGCTGTATATGATGTTAAATCCCCTCTTCAAGGTTTTGGTTAGACTCTTAAAGAAGCCCCAACCACGTTATGAGATCAGTTTGAATATACAACCCAACACGGACGTCCGGTAAAGTGTGTGCTTTGAAAAGCAAGCAGTTAAGAAACGGAAATTACCGATCACTACTTCATATATAGGCAATATCTAATCATTTTGATAAATTATTTACTTTTTGTACCAGCTTACATTATTACAGTATGAAGATTTCTTTAATGCTGTTTTTCGTTAGTGTGTTTTATGTATCAGGTTGTTATGTTTTTCTGCTTTTTACTTTTCATTATAGGTTGTAGATTAAGTAAATGAATTAATATAATTGTAGAATTTTCTTTTTTTATTTATTTATTTTATAATTAAACAACATTAAATGGATTTACGGATTAATGTATAGTTAAATTACTTATTATATTAATATATTATGAAAATTATTAAATATTAAATTACAGCAATAGAAAATCTATCTTTTAAATATGCATAATAAAATGTATTCAAATAGTTCTAGTAAACAAGTGACTTAATTACATAATAATTATTCAAATATATATTTGAAATATAGAAAACAGTTTAGCTAGAACCTTAATTTAGTGTGCATTATTGAAATACAAATTCAATAAAAAATAAATAAATATCGTATTAGATTTATTCAAAATAGTTTAAAAAATTTACTTATATTAGAAAATAATATCATTAATATTATTTTACTGTTATATATTTATAATATTTGATAAAAGAAAATGTGATAAATTTAGAAAAAATTTATATTAATAAATTTTCAAAATATAAAAATTTTTAATATAACATAATAAAATTTAAATATCTAATTTTTTACAATAGTAGAAAATTTGTATTTTTAAGTGTTTCCATAGAATATTTAATATTTAACAATATTTTTATAGTCAGAAAATAGTATAATAATATTATAACACTATATTGACATTTTAATATTATAATAATCAATGTTCCTTATAATATTTATAATGTGTATTTTGCCAATGGATCAGAAAAAAATATATACATAAACAACTTATAAAAATATAAAATACGTAATAATTAATTAAAATTAATTAAATAAATAAAACATTCAATTTTATATATAATATAAAATTAAAACTTCATTTTAATGTAAATCATATAATATGGATATTAGTGCAATAAGTACTTTTTGCCTATTAAAGTAATTACAATAATTAAAATATATTTAAACGATTTAATAAAAAATTATTATTAAATAAAAATTAAACATTTTTACCTTCAAAATATTAAACTACTGAAATATGTTTTAATATTATATCAAAATTTAATATGTGGATCGTAATGTATCACTGGAATATAATCCAAAATATTATGTAGCTATCATTCGTCATTAAATATATTCATTCATAAATGATTCAATAAAATTATCTTAATAATTGTAATATTATTTGTCAAAAGTTTAATTAAAACTTTTCCATAAGTTTCTGAGTTTGAAAAATATTATTTAATGTTGATATATATTTATAGTTATTTATTAATATGCATATACACGTGTGTATGTGTGAGCGTACGAGTGTGTTTAGAGAGAGAGATAGAGAATTTATTTTATTTTTACTGAAGTGCTATGAAAAGAAATAATAGAAATATTTTAATTGATAATGGGGTAAAAATACTCATGATTGCAGGTATTGCGGTAGTTATCTTTTATAACAAGAAAATTACTATACCTTTATAAATGAATATAAAATGTTAGTTTTAATAAATTAATAATAAATATATTTGGCATTGGATAAATCTTACGTATACATGTTTCTTACATAATATATTTTTTGAACTCCTACAATTTTCTATATAATATTAATACAAGTAAACGATATGTATTTTGTACAATATAGTTTATTTACATTTATATATTTATTATTTTCTATAAAAGAATAACGTCGAATATTTCAATACAAGATCAATGAAAATTATTAATATTCTATAATATTTAAAATATTTTTATTTTAATTATTATACATTTTATGTATAATTTACTTTTAACTTAATGTAATAATTAAAATTCAGTGCATAAATTTAATAAGTTATAACGGATGCATAGAATATATAAGTATATAAAAATAGTATGTAGTATATCAATCTTTTAGTATATATTATACAATTAATATTTTGCACTGCATAATATTATATGCAAATATTATGCATATATTTTATATATAATATTAAGTTAAACTGTATTTAAAAATTAAATATTTTTAAAATTATAATTATAGACGTTAATATTATAATAATTATTATTATGTATTATAATGGTAAGGAAAAAATTAAATTATTATTAATATAATAATTTATAAAATGATTCTATATATTTATTTTCTACTTTTTGATTATCCAACATTTAAATGTATTGTAGATAGTAATCAATATTGAAGTTAATATTATTACATGATTGATTGCGATTCTTGTCTGCGTGTAATATTATTAGTATTGAAATCTGAAGAGAAGATAGTATATACACAAACGTATGGGAATGTAGATTGTAGCATATTTCTCTTCCTTTAAAAAGAGAAAGAACATACTAGTCATTTCATGTACGACGCTCCCAGACGTCTCAAGGTCTTCAGGTCATTTACCACTTGTATTAACAGGTCTTTCTGATATTTTACGATGTCTTTTTGATCAATTATAAAAATTTTACATTTTAAAATAGATAATGATTTACATTAAAAATATATAATAATTACTATATCAAATAAAATAAATAAATAATAAATGAATTTCAGTTCTTAACTTTTATATTTTATAATATTAAAAAAGAAAAAAATCAGTTTTCTGTATTTTAGACTGAAAATATTACATAGAAAAAATATAGTAATTTGATATGTATTTATTATTATATAATTCTTTTTATTATTTCATTAATAGAATATATTAAAATATAATATTTACGTTCATTTTTAAACATAAATATTTTTTTATTTTTTTTAAATGTTTTGATTAAATTATATATAATTTGAAATAATTGTGGTATTATTTTTATTTTAATAATTTAAAAACTTTTTAAAAAGTATGATCTATACTAAAAATATTTTCATAAAATATTTTTGTCATAAATAATACATATAATCTATATTGCAATTCTTTTAAATGAATCAATGCTTAATTGATCAGATTGATATTATTAAGCTCCACATAAATATATATATTTTGGAATATATTTTTTATTTTTATATGTCTTATTGTTATCTAGTCTTGGAGTTATTATCACTATTCTTAATTTTATTATAATAATTTATAGGTAATAACTCTAATACAAATTAAAAAATAAAAAAATAAGATAAGATTTTATTAAAGTGTATTAATCATTAAGTTTGAATATAATTATAACTACTTATAACTTGTAACTACGATTTTTTCTTGATAGTATTTATATCTACTAGTGATCTGAAATTTCGTGTTTTTCTAATCGATTATAGTGTTAAATAAAAAACTTTTTTTAACGAAAATATATAATTCTTTAGTTAAGTGAAAGTTGAACTTGTTTAATTATAATAAAAACATTGTAAATATAAATAGATTCATCATAGCTTCTAAAATATATTATGTATGGGTTACATTAATTGAAAATTTCTTTCTAAAAATGAAAAAAGGTTCTTTTAATTTTAGTAATTCAATATTTCATAACATCGAATTGGCATCCATTTTGAAAATAATATATCATTTTGAAAATTCTTTCACAATTTAAGTTATGAAGTATTAGTTACATAATAATAAATGGTCCGGGGGACGTGCAATTCTGGATTTACTTCAATATTGCACTCTAAATATCCTATATTTTATTATTTTATATATTTATTATGTAAATTTCTTATTCATACATTCACATTTAATTGGCATTAGTTTTAAATATTATGTGATATATTGTTTAAATGTAACGTAAATACAATGTTATATAATTATATATATGTAATTTCATATTTTCAAATTCATTTTTATAAAAACATAAAACTGATAATACTTGATTTTGAAAATTTATTATTACAATTTCATAAATTACATTTTATATACGCAATAAACTATACAAATTGAAACAACTTAATAAATTTTAGCAGTGATAAAAACTGATTGTTTTAAATTTTCAAGATAATTTATTAAAATTATTTGAAAATATATTTTACTAAGTTGTAACAAATTGCTTAAATATATATTTAATTTTTGAGAGCTATCTATACGAGTATAAATCTTATAATCGGTAATCTTTATCTTATATTTTCTCTAATAAATAATAATAATTTTATATTTTATCTTATAATGTGTCATATTTATGTAATTTTTAAATACATTTAAACATTTTGTTACACTAGATAGCTAGTATTGATTTTGATAATATAGTAAATTTTAACATTAAAAATTTCATTTATTATTGATGAATTATTATGAATTTTTAATTAAAGAAATTATTTAATTACAAAGCAAATCATTTTAGGATTTTACATATTTAAAAATTATTTTGTTCTAAATTTTATTAAGTTAATTATTAATTTTCTTCATCCGTAATATTTACAACTAATTTTATATACCATAAACCATATTATTATTGGCAAGAAAAATATTATGTGTCATGAGGTTATGAATATTATTAAAATAAAATATCTTAATTTTTATAAAAATAATGTTCTATGCAATAATATTTATTATATAATCTATCAATATTATGTAAATAATTCCGAAGAAATATAATAAAAATATATTTGTAAGATTTAATGGAAATTATATTTTAAATGATTATTTTATAGAAACAAATGTTTAAAACTATTAATGCTTAAATTCATAACTTATTTTATGATTAATGTCGATTCATAAAAGTTATTAAGAAATTTTAATGTAGTTGAGAGAATGAAATAATAAATACTAAAGTAAAAAATAAAACAAAACAAAAATTTTATTTTTCTAAATATTTTTTAGTAACCATAAGTATATAAATGCAATCATTAAGGTTAATGATCTTATGAATGGATAATATATTATACAATGTGAGACAATGCTTACATTTAAGAACGTATGTAATGATATAGAAATTTATTCTTGTTATTCATGTATTTGTTCTAAGATAGGTTTTTCATAATGAAGATAGACAAAAGAAATATAGTATCATAAGAAATTGAAAGGAGATCCATTACCAATTAGAGATTTTATAATTTTAAATATGTATAATTTTAAGTATTTGTATAATTAATAATTCTTATATTTTATATTATAAAAATTGAAAATACATTATATCCCCGTTCATTTCAAACCAAAATTATGGAAAGATTTAATATTTAAAATTAAAATATATTAAAATTTAATTTTTAATATTGTATTTACATATATATAAATATGTATATATATATATTTCGTTATTAAAAAACTATCTTTCTAAACATGATTTTATAAGATAATATAATTAATAATATTAATACTAATAAAACAATTTAATAAATGTCAATATCTAATACGTTATTTGTTAATAGTTTTGCAAGTAAAGATATTAACTTATTTAGGGTTTTAATTTTCTTTTTTTGCAGCACAAAGAATTACGACAATACAATTAGATGGTGTCCAGTACTTCATTTCACGCATGAATCCATATAGTCCTGAATTAAATTACTTCTTAGCATATCAATATTGTCGCTCACTTGGACTACAACTTGTTTCTTTTGAAACAAGAGAAAAAGCTGATATCATGACACAGTATCTTAAAAATGCCGGTTACATGAAATACGATTTCTGGACTTCTGGGAACAATCTGGGAACTGATATGTTCCTTTGGATGAGTACTGGATTACCATTTAATACCACATTTGATTATATGTTAAAATCAACTGGAAATAAACACGTTGATGTACCACCAGGCACTGAGCCGCAACGAGTTGCACGCGAAAGGTTTAATATATATTTTTCAAGTTACTTTATTTTTTATTTTACTTTTGCTATTTTTACTATTATTGATATTATGAAATAACAAACGTTAAATTTATATTTAACTATTTTAAATTAATAAATGTTAATAGTAAATCTTATATAAATTTATTGATAAAAATATTTATTCTATAATTCATTATTTCGATAAATAAAAAATATATACCATTTAATTTTCATAAGTACGTGTAAATAAAAGTTAATTTAAGTTTAATTAAAATGTTTAAATGAATAAATAAAAAAAAACATTTTCAATAATTTCAGTATAATTACAATATAATTTTAAATATTAGAGTAGTTAACGTATCAACTACTTCAGATACTTACCTCTGAAATTACCTATTATTCGTGTCCTCGATCCATTACTTATTCGCATTATTTAGTTCGCATTAATTAATATTTATTTACATATAATTTTAAAATCTTTAATATTATTTTTAGAAGAAAATATAATTAAAAATATTTAATATACATAATACTTTTATTATTTTAATTGCATTTTGCTTTGATTAATAGTAAAATTTGCTTTTATAAATTATTATTGATATTAGAAAAACTTACTTTGAGCAGTTTTTCTATTAAATTTATTTTCGTTGATATATTTTATAAATTTAAAAAGTATTAAGAATTAAGAAAGTAAATTAAGAAATTTTCCTATTTTAATGAAAGTTTGAGATAAATTATGATAAATTCATTAATTTTTTTTATAATTAATCTTTAGATAAATAAGTATTATCAATACAATTATATTAAATTTTATTCATATTTAATTTAATTAGTAAGAGACATTGAAATTTTTTCGTTTAAATTAATTAGAATAATATATGTTACAAATATTGTTTCATATATATTTAATTAAAATTTATTTTTTCTAGATAGTCTGTAATTACTGTAGTACAGTCTATGTATTAATTTATGTATGACTTAAACTATGCAATTTTTTTTATTAAATATTAAACATTTAATATTTTATCCTAACCTAGTATTTATATTTTATAAACAGAATTATAAATTAAAACAGCTTTAGAATTTTTATTATACTATAAAAAATATGAGCTTTACCAATTGCGTATGTATTATATAATTAATATATTCCCTGAAAAGTCCATGTTTTTGTTTTACTTTTCGAGAAAATTATTTGAAAATTGTTCGGGAATAAAAATAGATTTGTCAAGAGAAAAGATTACAAAATTAATATATAAAATAATTTCATATATTTTATGAATGTTTAGTGATTTGATATTTTTAAATAGCCAAAGTTAAATAACAAAAATAAAAATAACAAATATAAATGTTCTTGGAAGTTTAATACAGAAATACTAACAATTATAAGCAAATTTACATGAATATAAATGAAAAGGCAGTACAAAATTAAATCGCATTAGATGAAAAAGTAATTAATTATATCTGAGAATAAGAGATAAAATTATTTTATGACTAATTATATAAATGTAGTATAAAAACATGTAAGAAAATAATTAAACAAATATGTTTACAATTTCAATAAAATAGATAATAATAAACAAATACAATATAATTCTATGATAATAATTATAATATATAAACCATGAACAATGTAATAGTAAAATAATTACTATCATTAAATATGACAATATACACGAGCGTTTAAAAAAACTGGTTCTATTTAATAGTATATATGTTATATATCAGATCCTTTTTAAATTTTGTTATTTACAATATAAGTTGAGTGAAAATATAATCTAAAAAATACAGTTTTTCGCATTTGTGAAGATCCTATACAACCGAAAATTTTAATTTGAAAATTTGTCCATATAAAATAAATAATCATTTAATATATTTCAAAATTGCGTAAGTAATGAAGATAAGTATTCTCAAATTATTTTATTTCAAATTTTGTATGATTTTTAAAGTGATATAATAACGAGTAAATTTGAATCAAATTTACATTTATCTTTTATAATATAAGAATTATTTTTTCTTAATATAAGAAGCATATTGGATATTATTTAAATTATAAATCTGCCTAGATCAATGAAATTCATATAGTGATTATATATACTATTTTACCAAACAAATGAAATAAGTAAATTATGAATTTAAAATTTCTTTACTTTTACTTTATTTAAAATAACTTAACAAATTTATAATAATGTAATAATCAACTTGACACGTATTATACATTCTTAGTTAAGACATATATATATAAGAATCATATAATAAATCATATAATAAATATAATAACACATATATAAGTATAAAAAATATTTATAATTTTTTTAAATAGCTTGGATAATGGAAGCAATGAAGGCTGTGTTACAATGGCATCTCCAAGTTTAACGTGGAAGGCTATGGATTGTATGCTAGTTAAGGATTTCATTTGTGAACAGACGCGATGCTATTATTACAATTATGGGAGTATTCCTGTTTCGGCTACACAGGGGTAAGGAGGTGAGCCTATTTAACCACGCGTACACACAAATCAAAATACAACATAACACGGTTAATTTATTGTATATGGTTTTTATATTATACTTAATAATTTTTGACATAGAAAAGTAAAACTATTAAATTTAAATGTCTAATTTATAATTTAAGAATTAATTTATGAATTTCGTCAACTCAACAGAAAAGTAGTATAAATACTATTTATGTGTCTCCTTTAATGACTAGTCAAATAAAATTATTTAAGATGTATATTTATTTAATATTTTCTTTTTAACTAAAAAACTTTATAATTATGTTTATACCCAAATATTAAATTTCAGTCATTTTTTGTATAAAATTTTTCAGCATTAACTTCAACATTTCCTTCGCTTTTTCTTTTTGTTAACAAAGAATTATATAAAAAACTTTTAAAAAATTAGAAAGAAAAAGAATTAATCAAAAAGTATTTATAATTTCAAGTTTAGTTATTGTATTTAAATAAACAATTATTAATTGAACAAATATTAATACAAATAATTAATAAAATAAAAATAAAAATTCATAAAATAACAGTATTTTTATAAAAATTAAAATTTATATGTATTTAGATTATGTTACATGTCTTCGATCTACTATAATACTTTATAGTATATAATAATTATAAGCGATTTCCCTGCTTAATCAATGTATACAGCAATATTTGTTATGATTTTGATCCGCTTTAAGTATATAGACTCGTATTCAAAAGTTAGTTTCTGGCTGGAACTACAAAATTCAATAGTTCCGTTTATTAGTCTCTCGCCGTAGCGATGCTTAGGAAAGGACACATGAGATACGGTTGTAAATATGTAGTGTGTAACTTCGTTTTAAAACATCGTTTATTCTGTTTTATTAACAAATACAGTATTGTAGTACTATGTTCACTTCTTGTGGGAGAGAGGGAATTATTCTATTACAATTATGCGATAGCTTCTTGGTAATGGTGGCGATGTTGTTGATGATGTTATGGGGATCAGCAATGGATTTTCTATATTCCCTGAAGGGGAATAGGGCTTGTTGGGTTCTATGCTAACGTTGTAAAGGTCAGCAAGAAGAGTCGACCATGCTTATCAGGTGAGAATGGGAAGGTGGTAGTGCAAGACTATTTTTTAGAACAGCAGTCACCCTTGACGCATTGTTGTTTGTGTGCACTGCAGAAGTGAACGAGCGTTCCTTGCAATGGCTACGTTGAGAGAGGGTGTGTTGCGTGACCTTCTCCTTGTTGTAGACTCGGTGTGATAGCGTGGTTTGGGTGTAGATGACTGGCTAGAATGAGTGACTGATACCGTGAACTTTATGACTACCAACACTACGTAATGAATGACTGCTTTATGTTAACTACGTGGAGTCTTGTCGCCCGCTTTCTTAGGTATCGGCGCGGCAGTTAGCTCTAGTTCGAAACAAATTTTCGGCTAGTCGAGAATTCGGCGAAAGCAACGTTATCGTTGGAGGCCAAGCAGGCTTCGGAAACGATCGGGAATCCAATCTTTTGGCTACTCGAGAATTCGACGAAAGCGAAGCCTTGGAAGATTCGACACTTCAATCGACGTTGTTATGAGAAAGCTAAGCAGCCTTGTAGAATGTTCAAGAATTCTGTCTTTGGATAATTGAGAAATCAATGTGAGAGAATGTAAACATTCCGAGAACCAAAGGCCTCGAATAAAATGCTTTAATTCCGAACATCTCGGTAAATAATAAAAAGAAGAAATTAGAAATGAAATCTGGAAATATTATATTGCTGTATTTAATTAATAAAAAATTATAGTATATTCACGATTAACTTAGGAATTAAATATAATAATATTAATTTACATAGCAACCCATACAATTGGTATACGTATAACTAAATAATGTATAGACATAATTTTCATTGGCTGAAAAATTAATTAATATCTCATGTAAATGTCAAAGACTTATAATTTTATAATATATTTATAATATTAAAGACTTATGTATTTATCTATTTTCGAAAGTTATTTAAGAACTCAGTTATAAATACAATATTACAGTTTTACACATTATTTACTAAATTATTTTTAATTATAATTGACGGAAAGTCTATATAGATTATATTATTTTTTATAATAATAACGATTTATGCATTTTTGTCTAGATCGATATATTTCATAAATTATAATATAATTTAATACTTGAGAGCAATTTTATATTTCAACGAGACCAAATAAGTTTTACAAGAGTATATACAGTAAACATTAATAATTTAATGGTTTTCTTCTTCAGATAATTTTCTAGAATAAATAATACAAATTGTTATATTCCTTTGATAAAAATTAACTGATATATAAAACTTAATCACAGTCAATGATTAATAAAGGTGGTGACAAAAATATAATTATTACCCACAGACTAAATTCATAATTTAATTACTTTTATAAATACAAAGTTGCGCACTTATTTCTGTATAATAAAAGATTTGATTTTTTCATGCGTTTGTCCTTTTTTCTGTCATATATATAAAAAGTGATAAATTATGGATATTATACGAATAAAAATAAATTCCATACGAATATTTTTCAAATAACTAAATGTTCTATCATTTGTTAAACAATATAATTGTTAGTATATTTTAGTAAAAAATTACAGAATATAAATTAAGAAACTAAAATATTTGTGTAATTTTGTGTATAACATGTTCAAATATTTTTTCAATTGCTCATAAGATTTGCAAAGAATAATAATTATTAATATGGACATACATATAACAAACAATCTCTGTCCGTATATTTACATTAACTTCAACTCGTAGTGTAAATGAATTATTCATGCTGCATTTATTATATTTTTGCTCATAATTTGTTTTAACAGTACAATGCTTACATTTTATTATACAGTCTATTATAAACTGAATACATAAATACATATACACTAATTAAAAATACCGAAAAAAATATATTTAAGAAATTTTAATCAAGTATAACTAAATATTTTCTGTTTGAAACAGAAATCGCAGACTTTATTTCAACAACTCAACAATGACTACAATTTCGACAATGACAGCAACGATGAGCACAACAAAAGCAACTGGCTCTATACCAACCGATTATGATATCTTTAAACACAATGAAACAAAGAAAACTCCTACATTTGAACAAGATTTTCCTGAAAAGTTAACTGAGGTTTCTACCTCTACAGAAAAGATTTTTTCCCAAATGCATCTAGATGAGGTTCATAATAAAAATTTAATTTTAAAAATGTTGGTGACTGAAAATTTAAAAAACAATAGTCGTCCAATTCATCTTCCTCATATTACCAGTCTCTTCACCGAGAGTTCGGTAAGCAATGACAACGTTTTTGCAGGTCTACAGACTCATGAGATTCGCTCAATAGTACGAACATCAATACCAACTAAACAAATGATAACTAAATCTCAGCCAGAACAAGAAACGGAGTCGACTAATAATACATTTGAAGATAATTATACAATTGGACCGTATGATTCAAATAATCAAGACTATCAGTCAGATCAATCAGAATTAATGTTATTTCAAAAGAATCAACAACAATATTCTCAGAAGAATTTTGATGATGATTCAAGCACAATTTTACCAGAGGCTGAACCATCTTATAGGTATAATATTAAGGTGCGCAACTATGGAAAAGTATTAGATCCTTTATTCAACTAATTTGTTGTCAATGTACTAGCTACATAATATATGTACAATGACAATACATGATAATACTATTTAAAATTGTGAATTACAATAAATATGTAAATTAAAATATGTATAAGTTAGCCATTAAAATTATTAATATTTCTAATAAAATTCTTATTAATACTTTTGAAAATTAAATAAGTCATTTGCTATTCATTATTTAAATAAATATAATATAAATTTATATTAAATATATTTTTCAACATTATTTATCCAATTTTATTAATATTATTCTTTTGTTTTAATTATCAATAAAATATAAAATAATCATAAGTCCACAATACAGAAACTATAATTATCTATCCACATTACAAAAACAAATTTAATAAAAGTACTCAATATAAATGTAAATAATAATAATAATTACTATATTAGTACAATTATATATTCTAATATTTTTTAATATAACTTTTCAAAGTTAATCAACAATTATTAAAAAAAAATCTAAAATAAAAAATTTAATTAATATACATATATATATTATTTAATAAATAGTGTATTTAAATATTTTATTTTTCAATTGAATATTTAATAACAGAATTATATTTATAAACCTTTTAAAAATCTACATATTTATAAATAATATCTTTTAATACATTCTGAGTTTTGTGTTAATTCATAAAAGGTAAATATTAGAATAGATAATTGTTTTTCTTAAAAATTTTTTAAAAAATATTTTATATTCTTAAATACCGTATATAGTTGTTTAAACAGTAAATACGAAAAATAGAGCGACCAATAATTATTAAAATATATATATGTAGCTGGAATTATTTTTTTTATTATAAAAACATTTTATGAAAAATATTATATAATGTACAGTGCTTACAAAAAATTAGAATGTTTATATTAGATTTTACATAAACTATCATCATTTCACATCCACTTGGAAAAAATGTTTCGAATTTTGCTTCAGCATTAATAAATTTTGTTGACTTGATTCCTTCTATTCGTCATGATGGTAGCTATTTTATTTATATTTTTTATATTCATTCAAATAAAAAAAAACAAATATAACAATCCTTTTTTTAGTAACTAAAAGATCAAATTTAAATCATACTAAATTTTATAAACAATAAAAATGAAATTAGTTAGGAGCTTAGACAAGCATTTGAAATAAAAAAAACGAGAATATCGTATATTTTCGATTAATTTTATTGATATATTAGAATATTTTCAAGTTATTTCTGATTGTAAATGTAAAATGTGAAATATTTGTTTAGATAAAATGTAATTATTATCATTAAAATATCATTATTGTGATAGACATGTTTTAATAACTTTATTGATATGGTAATCCTGATTTATAGCTATATCCAAGATATTCATACTTTTCAAAGTGATATTTCTAATATTTAGATTTAAAAAATTTCTTTAAATTACTATGATTATATTAAATAAATTATATGAAATAAATTTTTTATTTTCTAAATGATTAATGTTCATGACCAAATAATGATTACTTCAAACTAACAAACAGATATTTATAATTTTTATATTCAAATAATTTCTATAAATTACATCGATTATTTTAAATAAATTTTATAAAATAAATTTATTTTATAAATAAAATTTTCTAAATAATGATTTCTTCATTGATTCACGTGAAATGTAATATTAACTAATAAATAAGGTAAGAAAAGATAATTCGTAACGTATTTAATTTAAAAAGTTAATTATTTAAAAATCCTTAATAATCTTTTTTTTTAAAAATCCCTAATAATCCCTTCGATTTTCTATTCAATGAATATAATTTGAGATAATGTAAACTATTTATAGTAATTGCTTTGTTATTTCAATAATACATCTAATATCATTCCATTGATTACAAAATACTTTAGAATATAAAATTTTCCAATAATATCAATTAAATTATAATAATTTATAGAATAAGTATTATATTATTTTTTTGTGAAAATCGTGTATTTTTATTTGATTATATTTCTTTTATTATATAATTTGTTGACTTGTTTGTACGTCCGTTGCATATCTTTTGGGATGAACATCTTTGTTCTTTTAGGTTATTGAGCATATTTCATCTCTATTTTATCAAATAATCTGAATCTGCTATTGTAGTTGCGTTACATATAATTCCCAAAAAATAAATTGTATAGAATTTACAGAAAAAAATATTTGTAAATGTGTATATTTGTTATATCATTGCATAGTTAACCTGATCTATTTGACAAAATTTATATTAATTGGAATACACAGATGAAATAACGGTAGAATATATTAAAAAGTTAACAAAACTGATAATTAAAATAATTTCATTTGATAGTAATCTTCTTATTGAAATCAAATAACATAAAAATAGGCTCATACTAGCAGTTAGAAGAAAATAAAATAATTTAAATAAGTTCGCTAGAAAACATAATTTTATAAATAGCATTTGTAAGGTTCTATAATAAAGTTCGTTTACTACAAATTCTATCATGGTATAAAAATAAAATATAATATGCCAGTTACAGTTAGTACATAATAAAATTCTGATAATTGACAAAAGTAATATATTGTTGTAAGAATTCAGACATAATTTATTACTGAAATCCAGTTATTTCTCAATGTTGGACGAAGATCAATTAATAAAATTTCATTCTTGATCTTCGCTGCAATCTATTTGTATATATCATCATAGATTTTTTATTTATTCTTACATAATGCTTAGTAACTAATTATCATGAATTTCTAAGTATATCAATATTTTCATTTTTAATATGTTATAAAACATTTTTAATGTTTAACTGTATTCAAATTTAGTAACTTTTTCATATTTTAAACTTACTTTTGACATCAAAAGAGTGGATAAAACTTTATTTTTAAAGTAAATATAAGTATAATCATATTTAAAATAAGTAGAATAAAATTTAATGTAAAATATAATATAAATTAAGTTAAACAGATTGTGTTTGAATTATGTAAATTTACAATGTTGGATATATTTCATTCATTTATTATATTTTAATAAATATTATAAATTAATTAATATTTTATATATCATAAATTATGTATTGAAATATATTGAAATAAATACGTATTGTATTGCAGAAATATAAAGTAAAAAATTAATAATACTAAGTAATAAATAAGAATGCCAATATTAGATTTACATTATGTAGTAAAACTAGAAAGAAAATTATGCTTTACAAGGAAAATATTTTACGAACCTTGATTTATAATATATTATTCAATTTCTTAAATATCTTACCTTATATTAAAATTTACATCTATAATATTTATCATGCTACTTTTATTTGTATTATTTTGTATTATATAGAACAGTTTCAGTTTTTACTTGGTTCTTACGATGTAAAATTATTATAAAGAGAACTAATTAATAAACAAATTTGGAAATAAAATAGAGAAAAGTTTTATAAACTCAGATTATATCAAAAGTGGTACCAAGAAGAAAAAGTAGATAAAAATAAAAAACTATAAAAATATTTTGTTTTATTTCTTTGGCTTTTCAAAAATAATCTATAAATTAATGTTGTATGTTCGAGATTCCGAGAATCTTTCTAATGTTATGATTTCTGGGAAAAACCCAACGGCTATCATTTTGGGGAAAAACTCCAACGGTTATAATAACTGGAAATCCTCAAATCGTTATTAGAGGTCTGGAAAAACAAGTACACAACCGCAACCATTACTTCTAACACCACAATCGCATCCATTGTTTCAAGTACCACAATTGCCTCCTTATTATCAGATAAAAAAGCTGCCGCGTGGATAATTACGGCAAGCGCACCACAAGATAGGCGCTAGTCAGCCATGAGCTATTTAGCCAAGAACGAGTCATTTAGGCAATCGCACGCTCTCTCAGCAAAGCCGCTACAGAAGGTACTAATAACAATTTGTTGCAGGCCCTTCTCATACTCGGTGCTACATAACACTCTCTTGGACTCTCTCATATTCTGTGCCATCGGCACTCTCTCAAGTAGTCCTTTCCACAAGTCAGACCAAGTAACAACACCATTCGAAGCCAAATCAAGGTTTGGAATAATTTTTTCACCCTTCAATACCACAATACAGCTTGGAGGAGACCAGCAATCAAGTCACCATCACATGGCACTACCCGAAGAAGTGCCAAGAGATTTATGACCTCTCACTTCTCAATGTAGTACTTCACCACCAAACGCACTGCATCAAGAGGATTCAGAGATTTACGACCTCCTACCTTTACAAGTAATGCATGCTGACATCACGTGGCAACAACCCAGGAATGGTACCATCTCAGCGATTCTCATCATCAACGTAGAATCATTATATTGTAGTTGTAAAATAAACGCAATAAGAAGCACGAGAAGCAGATGCGTTAAATACTGAAATGAAGTGCTATCCCTTCCATTTACCCACACTTTTTCTTGCACCAGGAAACTGGTGGCCATTCTAAACATTACAATTGGTCTAATTCTAAACAGTACAAGTAATGATATGATAAATCAATAAAAAGCAAAAGAATTGTTTGAGATTCAAACAATCTCTCATATATTATTATTTGGAGAAAAATCCCAACGGTTACCATTTCAAAGAAAAATTTCAACGGTTATCATATCAAAGAAATTATTCAACGGTAATAGCTTCTAAGAAAATTCTTCAACGGTCGTTCGAGATTCGGAAAAGCCGGTATATCCGAAACGAGTGCACGATCACCCCCATTGTTTCTCGTACCACAATCGAACCTATTGTTCTAGCGCTATGATCGGCCATTTTTCGTCAGCTAAATAGCAGCCGCCTAGATATTTAAGACAAATGCAACATGAAATAAGCACTACTCACTCATGAGCCAGTCAGCCAAGAATCATTCGGCCAAGCCGAGTCTAGGAAGCAGTCGCAAGTCTTTCCAATACTAGTGCAGCTATTGCACACACTCTCTGCAGAGCTGCTACGGAAGGTACACTCAATAGCTTCATATTATTGCAGCCCTCTCTCATACTAGGTGCAGCTACGGAAGGCCTTTCTTATACTAAGTGAAGCTATCGCATACTAAGCAAAGATGCTATAGAAAGCCCTCCTCATCCTTCTACAATACAAGACAGATTGGAGGAGACCAGCAATCAAGTTACCACCACGTGGCATTACATGAAGAAGTATCGAGAGACTTATGACCTCACAGTGTAGTATTTCACCAACAAGCTTACTGCATCCAGAGGATCCAGAGACTTATGACCTCCTACCTCTACATGCAGTGCATGCTGACACCACGTGGCAACAAACAAGATATGACGGATTATCATCGTCAATGTAGAATCATTACATGTAGTTGTAAAATAAATGAAACACCAAACACGGAAAGCAGACATGTCAAATACTGATTTCAAGCGCTACTCCATCCAGTTGCCCGCACTTTTCTCCCGCCATTCCAACCGATGGTCTTAGTCAAATACTAAACAACAATCGAATCGAACAAACGAATGTAATAATTATCCAGTTTGAATTTGAAATTATTTTTAAAATTGTTAAATATTCATTGATTTTGAGTTTGAGAAAATAAAAAAAAACATTGTATTGCTAATGAGTTTTTGTAATTGTATTGCTGGATATTATTATTATTATTACTGGATATTAGAGCAGAAAATGAAATTTAAATATCTATTTTCATAAATTTAAAGTATTTAACTATGAATAATATGCAAATAAATATATTTTTTTAATAGGAAAGCAGTTTCATCGCTGATAATCAAATTTCATAAAAAAGAAAATGTATTTGGAATGTGTATTTTAATTAATACAGGAGAATCTTTTCGGTGTGATTGTCACACTCAATTATACCACTAGAAACTGAAACATAATGGTAATTAAATAATTACAAAATTTTATTTAACACTTAAGTAATTAAAATTTTAAATCATTTGAATTGAAGTCATATATTTATTAAAGAAATTATTCCACACGTCAAAATACAATTATATTTTTATGAGATATGGTAAATAAATTTTGACAAATATGTTACTTGCTACTCAGTAAAAAATATATTAATGTACCTGTCGTGTTTGCATTTCTGAATCTTTAATTTATAGTTAATGTAATTTCTATGTAAGTATAATGGCATGTTTTTCTATTGTAATATATTAATGTATTGTAATCTGCTTGTATTTAATAACATATTTGTCATACTTTTGTGTTTATAAAACTCTATTATACAACAATAGAATAAATAAAGATATATAGTCTATTATATAATGTATTCTATTTACAAAAATATTTTGTATTTTTAATAAATTTTAACAATATTTGAACTTTAATAAATCTAAAATAAAACATAAATCGCCCGTTACAATATGTGTATATATATATAGATGCGTGTGTTTACGTACACGGCTATTCATTTATCTGTAAGTGCATAAGTGCATTTTTAAATGCGACATTATTACATTTTCAAAACCAAGTAGTCATATAGGTATATAGGTACAGTAGGTATATATGTAATGTCCGTACATTAATAAATCTTCTTATATAACTTCGGTATTTATATAATGATGCTAAAATGTTGAATCATTTAAATCAAACCATATTGACATATTAATATTATTTTTTGTAATAAATTATGACAATAAATTGTGTTAGTATGTATAAAAATTATGGATCTATATAACAGTATTATATATTTTTATTTTAATATCTAAAAATACTTAAGATAATTTTTTCCATGACAAAAAATAATATTGACAGTACATGTGCTGAAAGTTTTTTAATAGAATCTTTTAATTGTTCTAAATTAATCTACTAATTTATTTCTATGTGTCTGCTTATTTATGTATATGTAATACTATACTAAATTAACCATAAATTTCTATTGATATTAAATACGCATCTGAAAAATGATGTAATCGAAATAAAATTTATGTAATTATATTTCATAAATTACTAAAAAATCTCAATATTTATTCAAATATTATTATATAAGTACTGCAAGATATAAAAGATAATATATTATTTAAATTATCATTATATAATTCTCATTTGAATTAGATTAACTCTATGAAATTTTTATAGATAATAAATTATTTAAATTATATATGAAAATATTTAATTATGGGTCAATAATTTAAATTACTTTGAAAAATGAACAATGGTATAGAAGTTGCATTATTTATGCATATTGAAAATATACCTTATGAATGACATCTTTTGTTTCTGAGTTGTAATTGAAATATTGAACAATAATTAATTCGTAAATTCATAATACAATATAATGGTTTGTATATTTATGCTATCCCAAACTTTATTAAATATTCATGTAAACTAAATTTATTTTGCGTCAAATTTTCAATTACGAAATACAAAATTATAAAGCATTTATTAGATGTATACGTATACAAGAGTTATAAATATTAGATATTCATATGAGTAACCTTATATGTATTATAAATTTTTCATTAGCATTTTAACTATTATCTGTACAACCTTCAAATTTAATTTCTATAAACTTCTAATTTTGTATTGCTGAGATTTTTATAAATTACTTTTTTATGTTAAAATTTAAAAACATTTATTTATTTTTAAGATATATACAAATTATAACAAATAATCAAGTAATTGAAATTTTTTATAGTATCAAATAATATAAAATCACTATATAGATATTTAAATTTATATTATGTAAAACATGAATAAAATATTTCAAATTATAATTAATAACACATATTTGTAAACTGTTACATATAAATAGTAAAATAAAAATTAAGATATATTTTAATTAGATGATATGTAATTCGGAACTTCACATTATAATCTTTTAGGTAATTATACACAAAACTTAAATTTGTTTATTATGGTATTTATTAAATAATCAATAAATTATAGTTTCTAAATTATTCTTTTTCAAAGAATTAGTTATTTTTTATTTACTAATTTCTTAATAGAAGTTAAAGAAAATAATATATACACATTTTCTAAGTACTTGGTTGAATGTTATTATATTAAAATACGTTTCCTTTAAAGTTTTAAGGGACTATTTCAAATTCTAAAATGTTTTCGTCGAATATGTCATATATTAAGAAACATTTTAAATGTAAAAACTGCTATCAATGATGTAGCTATTCAATTATATATGGGCTATATGCGTAAATGGACATTAAAGTATACAAGTAATGCTTTTCTCAAAAAATTACTTTGTTAAAATACTTTTATGTAAAAAAGTTATATAAATTAAAAAGTTTCTTATATATTCATGTTAGTAAAAATAATTATAATAATAAATATAATAATTTATAGTAAAATTTATGATATTTCTTATTAATTTATGCTTATAGAAATTAAATAATAATAATTTGAAATTATTAATTATTTATAAATATTTTTGTAATAATTACCATCCGTTTATAACTCCTTCAATGTTAAGCATAGGAATAATTTTAAAAACATAATCATCTCTTAAACTAGACACATAAATAGAATTTCCTAGTAAGAATTCTAATGTTCCATGCATAATCCATGATGCATTACTTTCACCAGGGTGAACTCTTGAAGTAAGAAAAATAACTTTCCTTTTCTGAAATACATAATAATGGCACATTATAATTTTTCTTTTTAAAATTAAAAAAAATGTTTTACGATGTTAATATCGTATAGCTTTTCTAATTTTTCTATATATATATTATTCTGAAACCAATATTATTTTCATTTGTTATAAATTTAAATATACATATTGTACAAAATGCACCTCGTCGTTCCGACTTGTTTTATCAAGGCCGGTTCGACGGATACAATTTGATGCCGTTGACAACTCAGAGACCACGGGTGTTGTGTGGTAGCGATGACAGGTCACGAGTGGAATGGATATTATAATAATACAATAAAGATATGGCTGAAGTATATGCTTTTTATTCTGTTATTTATTAATGACAAGGTTGACTAGTATTACTATTATTACTTATAGAACTAAATTCTTAATTGAAGTGACGTGTTGCGGAGACAACTGTACAATAATCTATGTAGCTTGATTATTGAATATGAATGAGGAATGGCGCGAGGTTTTGTTCATCGACACTAGCGCCTATTGAACGAGCACGTGTGTGGTTGAGGTTATGGATGCGGCTTTATTATTGGAAGATATCGCAAGTGGCGTGAAACTGGATTGTCTACACTTGCGTTGGGTTTTGCTTACTTTCGTAAGCTTCCGAACTTGAACTAAGGTGAGGGTTACGAAGTGGGATGCCCTTGGCGGGTGCGAAACTTGACGAGACGTACTGGAATTTATTCTGCACTGTCGTTTTAAGAGTAGCTTCTTCATCCTTAGTGCTTGTCGATGTAATACTCTGAATCTCAATATGTATATAATTATTGTAGTAGATACTACTTACAACGACTAATCGTTGATTCGTCTTCGGACTCTGATAGGCAGATTGTCGTGGCTCCCTTGGAACAGGTAACTACAGTTTCTTGTACTACGTTAGTGGACATGCGGGTTTATGTCGTGGTTCTTCCGGGGCAGTAATTACTGTTCCAGTAACAGTGTTAATGGACAATCCGAAGAAGTGTAAGTCGTTCCCGAAATAGTGCTAAATGGACTTTCACAAAAACTTAACTGAGTATGAAATGTCTCTATAATATTGAAAGAGTATTACTAAAAGAGAGATATCAAAAATACTAATAAGCAATAGATATCAAAAAACTGAGGGACAGTTCGAAAAGAGTAATATCACGAAAATACTACTAACTGAAAACTATCAAGAGTAAATATTAAGACAGTTATATATCACGAGCGATAAGGATTAAGAGAGTTAAGTATCGAGAGTAAATAAGTATTGAAAATTGCGCCCCTTAAATAAATTTGCTGACCATGAATTTTACTTGAACCCCTTCCCTTATTTTCTGTCCAATCAGAGACTCCTCCCTTATAGTGCCAGGGCAGCGCCTCTTTTGGCTTCGGAGTTATTTAAGGGCCTAGTCGTCTCTGGGTCTTCATGATGAGCAGATCTCTCATTGCTGCTGCCGCATTCGACAGCATGTAGGCAGCGGCAAGAGGGGGAGGGTTTGCTGACACATCTGGTGACAGCATTGCAACTTGTAGACAGCGGGAAGGGGAATGAGGGTCCGCTTGCAGTAATGCTTGATGTAGTTGCCGAGCGGAACGAAAATGCATATGTCAAAACTATAGGTTTTTCCGTGTTTATGGTATTGTTTTTCCAGATATTTTATGACACTAATGCGTGAGAAGATTTGAGCAAGCGAAGTTTAAAATCCAAATACAAATTTTACGATGTTACTTGCCAGATGTTTTATTGCACTAACAAAAAGGAAAAAATGTTCTCGCATTCGCGAACACATATATGATTTAACATTCAAATTATCGCATCTGAACTTCATTTTGACAACTATGTAGATCGTTGAGGTTGAACATAAATTAATTATAATATACCAAATAAACAAATTGCAGCATTGTAATTGAACTATTTGTTAATAATTATAATAATATTGCAATGTTGTGGAGAGAGAAGGTTATTCTATTGCAGTAATGAGGGTGTGTCCTTGTATTCTTGATTATCGTAGATTCTATGGATATGACTGTGTATCTTGAAGTTGAGGTTATGCTGATGTTGTAAATATCAGCAGGTGCAGTCAATCATCAATCATGCTCATGAGGTAGCATGAGAAGATGGTGGTTGAATCAAGTATGTTTGATATATGGAATAACTATACTCGATATGGTGTAAGATGTTTAATGGAACATGTTGAGTGATCAATTATTTCTTTTATTATTTATGGGGGTAGTAGAAAAGACTAGTCACACACAAGAATAATTAATGATAAGTCTTTGTGCTCTCGAATGACTTAATGAAATGGAATTGTAGTCGATTATTCACTATATTGTTGTCTGGTCTTGATAATGTGCTTGACGACTTGGGTCGCTTGAGTCGACTCTTATGGGCCTGTACGGGGTCGAAGCGTTGGTTCGAGAGAGAGAGAGAGAGAGAGAGAGAGACAGAAAGAGAGAGAGAAAGACAGAGAGTTACTGCAGTAAGCAGACCTAGCGTAACCTAAATTTGGTGGCATAGATCCTGTTGCCTTGATATTAAATTTTCCTTTAACACCTTAAACCTCTGTTCTGAGGGAATCCCCTTTGATTACTATTCCAATTGGCTTCACTGTAAATCACGACTAAATCTGCCGATTTCCTTTTAATAATACACACGTATATTATTTACTAGGCTGCCGAAGTTACGGCCACGTGTCGTCTTTATAGTATATACTAAAACATTGAGCGGCAATTACAGTTATGTGAGTGCAATGTAGGATTACAATTCGCGTATGAGCCTCTTGAATCGCGCACGAACCGAAGGCTTGATTCTTCCGTGGCAGCTCTGCTGAAAATACCGACCGTTCCATGGCGGTCCTGCTGAGGGCAGATCGAGACCCGTGTGCCATGGCTTCTACTGGTAGATGGTTAGATCGGTACACTATGGTCGGTCACTGCGGTTGGGTCACGGCAAGATGTTAGCCGCAAGCGCAGTTGAGTAAGGGTGGTTCGGCATGAGATCCGGTCAGTAAGCAAGAAGCTTTGAGCGAGAGGGCGAGGTGCGCCGCGTGCGTCCCTTATATAGCCACACGGTGGCTCACTTAGCTGGCAACAAATCATCGTCGTTGTTGCACTGATTCTTACACGAGGCGTAGAAAGAAAAATCTAAAACCTTCGAGAATGTTTGATGAGAGAAAAGTAGGCGTAATATCTTTGTGTGAGTATATTAGATTTCATGTCGTAAAACTTGCTCGGACTTGCCAAGTTTTGTTTATAAACACTCGCCCGGTTTTTACCACTCGTACGGTGCGTCGTACAGCGACCCACCTTTTCTTAAATTCGTGGAAACTGCGTCAATCTCGAACAATATTATACAGATTTTAATATCTGAAGATTTTTTTGGATTTGGTAGCATTCACAATACAATGCGAAATTTATAATTACTGAATAATGCAACATTATTATTGTATTAATTTTTACATACAATATATTATTAATTCAAATAATATATATTATCCGCTATGTATATATGTGTGTGTGTCTAAGTCCAAAAGAAATATAAAGTTTATAAGGTATAATCATAATTTTTTTGCAATTTTCACTTGAAACACTGATTTATTATATTGTTAATTTTTTTAATTTAATAATATATTTTTATTTTAGATATTTCTTATTAATAAAATGTAATTGTTATCGAATTATTTGCCCATATGTAAACATTTATTATACATAGTTAAATAAAAAAATTAAAGATTATAGAATATTCAGTTATATATATCATTATAAATTCATGATTAAGATAATTGAAGATTAAAATAATAATTTAACGTAAATGATTTTATGATATTGAGGAAAATATCTATAAATAAAATACAGTTTAGAAATTTTAAAATAGTTTATATAAAGTAGAAATGTTAAAATGAACTTACATGTATAGGATTTTTAAATGAATCAGGAGATGTAATAGTAAGAAGTGGATTTTCGTTACCATTAAGAGTATCGCAAAGTTTATCTGCACGAAAATAAATCAATGTACTATCGACAGTATGTAACCACTTCCAAATACTTGTTATAAGTTGACTATAGGTATAAGGAAAATGATACGCTAGATAACAAATGTCATATGAATGAGGAAAAATAAGACTAAAAGATATTGTAAAATAATTTTCTCTACTATTAGGTTTATAATAATAATTTTGATAGTAACAAATGTCTTTTCCTTTTCTGACCCAGCCAGTACGTCCATTTAATGCTTCAATGACACTAAATAAAATTGGTTGCATTCCAAAATTAAACTGAGAATTTGATTTCTCACAATTGATAATATTAAAAGTATATAAATGTCCGGCTTCCATGTTTGAAATTCTAAAATAAAACCATTGATGTTGCGAGCTGCTATTTACATCAGGTGTTAAAATTAGCTCATATTCTCTTGGACCAATCTATAAATAGATTAAAATAAAAATTAACATATATTCTAATATATATAAATAACATATAAATAAATAATATAATTAAATATAAATATGAAATATGAATAGCGAATAAAAACTTCATAATTTCATTTATCAAGCTTATTTTACATATATATTATGTATAACACTAGAATGTTATGCATAATGTATATAATTTTTTATGTATTATATATATTGAATCATAGTATCTAGTACAGATATTCCTAATTTATTATAATAGTTATAAAACACTATGATTCATTAAAATACTTACAAAAAATAAGAAACACTTAGATGATGATATAGTAAAAATTATTAAAAAATATTATGACAAATTATCACAAAATTATTCTATGGCACATCAAAAATACATAATGAAATACCTTTATAATACACTAATTGACTAATTAACTAATATTTAATTAATGAAATATAAAATTTGAAAATGTATGCAAATTTTATACTTTATATCAAACTTATTAGCAATTTGTACATATTTCCCCATAACTAATCCATTTCCCTCAAATTGTTTTCAAATGTCACATTTTTATAATTGATATTGTACTGTGGTAATAACTTTTTACAACTTTTGAATATATATTTCATTTAACATTCTTCCGAAAATAAAATACGATTATGCTTAGAAATTAAGAATGCATATTGCAATCTGATTTATTTTCTGGCTCGATGGGCTTATGCTCGGTAGTTCCACTAATTCGTCGCCGGCCTTAGCGGATGCTTATGTACGGACTTAAGTGAAAGGGCTGTAGAGATATTTAGTATGTGCAGACTTCGTTAAATATTATTTATTATGGTTTCTTGACAATTACATTATTGATGAGTTGAATTCACTCTCAGAAGAGTGTGAACTATGTTCAATCACAACGATGTAGTTGCTCCTTGTTAATGGTGTCGATGTTGTTGCTGATCTTGTAAGAATCAGCAATGCAGAATATGGCTTATTTATGTAATGGTGACCTTTGCTAATGTTGTAAGCATTAGTAAAGAATTGTGCATACTTCATGGAAACAAGTATGGCTTATTTATGTAATAGATTCTCAAAAGAGACTACTGGTATACTTTCGTGATAAGGAGTATTTGGATACGAATACGAACGGGCACTCACCAGTGTATAGTCAAAGAAGAAGGAATCTTCCTCGGGAGAGTCGCTACGGAATGTACACGCAATAGCTGCATACTAAGTAGAGTTTCATACACAGTTCCCTGAGCAGGAAGCTGTTACAGGCCTTTCTCCCACCAGTAAACTACTGGACTTAGTCTAATTCTGAACACAATATAATATATTTATTAACTTACTTGTCTACTTACATATATTATATTACTATATTTATTTTATTCATATTGTATAAAATGTATTCGCGGTTCCGGCTTGCTTTACCAAGGTCGGTTCGAAGGATACAAATTGATGCCGTTGACAACTCAGAAACCATGGATGTTGTGTGATAGCGATGAAAGGTCACAAGTAGAAGGGATTTATAATAATTAAATACAAATATGGCTGATGTATATGCTGTTTATACTGTTATTTATTGATGACAAGGTTGACTATTATTACTATTATTAATTATTGAAATAACTCTTGGGGTGGATTGATGTATTTGCCGTGGTAAACGTATACTCATCTATGCAGCTTGATGGTTTGAATATGAGCGCAGAATGGCGCCAAGTTTGATTCGTCGACACTCGCACTGTTTGAATGAGCACGTGCGTAATAGAGGTTATGATGGTTATGTAGCGCGACACATGTATCTGTTGGTACTTGAGAGATATAACCGTATCGTAGCAAATGTACCTTGTCCTGATATTAGCGTACTGCAATAAATTCAGATGAAAGTAAGAGTTTGAAGGGCTTTTACCTCATGAAGGATACTGCTACTTGTTGTGTCTTTTGCGAACTTTGAATGGCAGGCTGTGGATTCATAAGCTTCAGACATTTAACTAAGTTGTGGGTAAGGCCGGCAAGTCTCGCATCAGATGATGCGATCTTGACGACGACCTTGGAATTATTCCGCACTATCTCTCTGGTGAGAGCCTCTTCTTCTTGGTTGATTGTCGATGACGTATTCGGAATCTTAAGTTTTATTTAATTATTGTAGTGGTAATACTACTTACGAAAACTAATCGTCGACTTATCTTCGGACTCCGATATTCGAAAAGACTAATCTTCGGACTCCGATATGAGGATTGTCCTCGCTTCTTTTGAACTTGTAACGAAGGTTTCTTGAACTGCGTTAATGGACATACGGTGATATGTCGTCGTTCTTCTGGGACTTGTAACTACTGTTGCCTTGAACAGCGTTAATGGACTTCCACTTGACACTTATTTGAATAAGTACTATATCGAGATTGTTTGAATCTTGAAAAATGTGCCCCTTAAATACATTTGCTGACCATGAACTTCACTTGTACCCCTTCTCTTATTATTCGTCCAATCAGAGTCTTCTCCCTTACAGAGCGAGGGCAGCGCCTCTTGTGGCTTCATAGTTAATTCATAGTAGGGCCTAGTCATCTCTTGGTCTTCACGACAAGAAGAGCTCTCGTTGCCTCTGACGCATCTGGCGACCGCATGACAACTTGTCGACAGCGGGAAGGGGGGGATCGCTAGTACATAGTGCTTGAAGTAGTTACCGAGCGGAGCGAATTCGTACATATACCTAACCGAGTAGGTTTTCCCGTGTTTATTATATTGTTTTTCCAGATGTTTTATGACACTATTGCTAGATAGTTGCAAGCATGAAAGTTTTAAAATCTAAACACAAGTTTTACGATGTTATTTTGCCAGATGTTATATTGCATTGAAAAGGGGTTTCGCAATTTCGAACACATATTCTATTTTCATTAAGTAAAATATACTCTCTTCCAATTGAAAATTAGTTTTATACATATGTAAGAATACGGATATTAAAATATCTTTCAAATTATTCTACATTTATTTTAAATTTTTTGTTATTTGTAAATAAAGTACAAATTATAAGTATTAGTAGTAAAGATATTTAACATACTTGAATAGCTTTGCGAAGATTTCCACTTTCAAATCTACTTTCGAAATGCAGATGCGTATTATCTTTATTTAGCTTCTTTATTTTTACTTTATCATAATTTTTGAGTAATTTATTAGAATGATTCCATCTTGTTAAATTCGAGATTAAAGCATCCAAATCATAAACAGTTTTGTACATAGTGATTGGCTGTATAACTCTGTTTATGCAAGCCAGTAATTTTTCTCGACATACTTGCTTTTTTTTAATATTTAATGGTTCAATTATGTTCAACGTTTGATTACATATTATATCAGGATAAGCAATTTTTGTAAATGGAATAATACTTTGTATATTGCTCGCAAAAAAACAATATATATTGTTTCTATCGTAACCTTGAGTATTTATACTTTTCAAATAATTTGAGTTTAATCTTAAAATATTGAGCTCTGAATTAATTTCTAAAGTTTTTTGTGCAACTAATTTCAACTGCTTATTATTTTCAAGATGTAAGTTACCAAATTCTCGAAAAAATATTCTGTAACTATTAAATATAATTATGAATAAATATTTAAATTATAATTTTTTTATACATAAAACTGTTATTTTAACATATATTTGAGAATTCATAATTTATGTAGTATATTAAAGACTAATTATTTATATGATATATCAACGCCATGGTTACTCAAACATTTTACGATTAAAATAGAATATACAGATAATCATTTAAATAATACGTAGTTATAAAAAAAAAATAGAAAAAAGAACAACAAATAAAATGGAAACATCACGATTAAAGTAGCTAGAGGATGAAACCGTGTAATTAAAATAGAATAATTATTAGCCACTGATGTGACGGAGTCGCTAAAAACATTAAAGTCAAACTTCACATTAAATCGGCAAAGGTTCTATGGTCATTGATTGCACGAGATCATCACTATCTAATGTAATAATAAACTATTGAAGTAACCAATTAATATAAAATATAAATAAATATAAAAATATAAAATCGAGAAGATAAGAAAAAACTTTTAGTAAAGTGCAATCCATCATCATTGTCACATCATTGTTACTAATATTAAAAGCTAAATATTCATATATGAAAACAGTCTATATTACATTTTGTTTTAAATTCAAAATAAATAGTAAATAAATTTAACCTTACTGCAAAAGTAAAAGTCTGACAGATTTAATAAATTAATATTATATTATATATAAATACTGATCACTTCTGTAATTGATAAGAGGTTCAATAATTTAAAAGTGCTTGTTGAGATAATTCTCATCATGAAGCTTCAAAAATATATGTGGCTTAAATTATATCTTTTTAATTAACAAAATTATTAGTAGCAATATCAATTTTCCAAACAATATATTAGTCAAATTTTATAAAATATTATTAAATGGTAATTTGATATATAGAAATGGAAATGGTCTGAATGATCTCCTAGGATATTTTATTAAGCTCATTATTATGATTGAAGATTCCTGAAACTTTCACATCAACTCTAATTACATTCATACACTTTGTTTTTAAACTAACATGACTTTTAGTGAAATAAGTATAATATTGAATACAAAATAAAATTAATTTTTTCAATAGGAAATTTTTAAACAATTGTAATTTCTTTCAGTTATTAGTGGATAGTCACATAAAGTTTATCTTTTAAATTCTTTAAATAACTCTGTTCGGAATGGGAGCATTTTGCAAGAACTTAGGCTCTCGGAAATGTATAAGCGTAGAAGGCCATTTGACTCCAAGAATTCTGGAATATTTCAAGCTTTACTTTCGAACGTTCTACAATGTTTATATGGTCTCCGCATAGCAACGTCGGTTGGAATTCTCGAAACTTCTAAAGCGTTAGACTCGAACGTTCTGCAATGTTTTCCACAGAGCAACATCTATGTATTGTTGCCAGCTGAGTAAGCTGCCGCGTGGATATTTAGAACAAGCACACCACGAGACGAAGCTTATAGCTACTCAGCCAGTAAGCCGGTCAGTCATGCTAATCAGCCAGCTAGTTATTCGCCATACTCTCTTAAGGTAAGGCCACCGAGGAAGAAAGACGAAATGAAGTTTGCACTATCCCCTTCAAATCAAGGAAGAGCTAGACTATAACTACAGTTAATTCATCCATACGGAGCATCTGGGATGATGGAAGGTACAACCCAGAACAGGTCAAGACTGCTATTTCTCTGTGAGTAACCTAAGTCTAAGGCATAAATCATTACTAATCCTTACAAAATTAACATGTTGCTATTATTAATATAACACTATCATACTCACTAATAAGAGTGCATAATCAGTTGCTGATTCTTACAAAATCTACAACACCTATCGGTAGACCCATCCATCATATAATTCCAACACAACAATAATGTAATTGTGAATAAACTTAATATACCATATTAAACGAAGAAGCGAAGCTTATTTCAGTAAAAATAGGTAAATGTACATATTAATTAAAAATTTGGTATAAAAAAATGAGCTCATAAATGCTTTGTTTCTAATGTATTCAGAAAGGTAAATATAATTTCTGATATGTGCACTTGCTTATGAATAGCATATTTCAATGCGTAAATTATGTTTCGGATGGTAAAACTACAATTAAATTATGATATTATTTTTGAGTTAATTCAAATTTATAAAATTAATCAGTCAGTCAGCCAAGCAAGTTAAGGAAGCGGTCACAAGCCTTTCCAATAATAATGCGGCCATTGCACAAACTCTGGTTACAGCCGCCGAAGCAAGAGTTAAGTGAACACCGTGGTCAGCGGAATGCATTTAAGGAAGATGACTACAAGACAAACTCACTCACAAGAAGTCCTCTCTCGTACAAGAGATTTTATGAAGGACCCCGCGAAGGACAAATGTGCTATCAAGCTGAAGTCCTCAAGGAAGAATGAAGAAGAAGAAAGGAAGCTCCCTCAGCAGAGTTCGCAGTCAAGACTCCGTGTCACCGCATAGCAGCTCAAGGTGCCTTAGTCATTTTCCTCTGGGTAGAGTTCCCAAGGATCCAGTATACTTCAAGGATCAGAGACGCTACGCAATACCCTTCTTATGCTAAGTAAAGCTATCGTATACTAAGCAGAGACGCTACGGAAGGACCTCCTCATTCTTCCACAATATAAGACAGTTTGGAGGAGACCAGTAATCAAGTTCCACCACGTGGCATTACACGAAGAAATATCAAGGAGAGACACCACGTGGTAATAATCAACAAACGGCAAGATCTCACCAATTCTCATCGTCAATGCAGAATCATTATATGTAGTTGTAAAATAAACGAAACATCAAGCACGGAAAGCAGATGTGTCAAATACTGATTTTAAGCTCTACTCCCTCCACTTGCCCGCACTTTTACTTCCGCCATTCCAACCGATGGTCTTCATCTAATTCTAAACAATCACGATTTCGTATACGAAATATTAAAATATTATGCTAAAGTTAAACAAAAGTTAAAAAATAATATATCTTACTGTTCGGGATTGACGCAGTTTCACGAATTTAAGAAAAAATGGGTCATACGCGCTACACGGCGCACGGCACACGCGCTCGGGCCGGGACGCGCGCTAGGGCGAATGTTTATAAACAAAACTCGACAAGTCCGAGCAAGATTTACGATCTAAAACATAATATACTGTAAGATCTCACAAAGGAAGAACGCTTACGAAACTTCTAGAAACTTCATTTTCTAACGCCACAAAGAATTTTCGTTATGACGATACGCCGCAGCACTGTTGCCGGCGTTGCATCCGCTGCATGCATATTTAAGGGCAGTTCGCCATGTGGCGATGCTCATTGTAATCCTACATCGCACTCACATAACTGTAATTGCCGCTCAATGTTTTAGTATATACTGGGAAGACGACACGTGGCCATAACTTCGGCAGCCTAGTAAATAATATACGTGTGCATTTTTAAAAGAAAATCGGCAGATTTAGTAGTGATTTACAGTGAAGCCAATTGGAATAGTAATCAAAGGGGATATCAATTACGTAGCAATTTACACACCTTGTCTGCAGCTCACAAGGTACATTTTTATATGAATAAATAAGCTAGTCACATCACACGCAAGAATAGTCCGGCAAACTTACGGTCTCTCTCTCTCTCTCTCTCTCGAACCAACGCTTCGACCCCGTACAGGCCCATAAGAGTCGACTCAAGCGACCCAAGTCGTCAAGCACATTATCAAGACCAGACAACAATATAGTGAATAATCGACTACAATTACATTTCATTAAGTCATTCGAGTGCACGAAGACTTATCATTGATTACTCTTGTGTGTGACTAGTCTTTTCTACTGCCCCCATAAATAATTAAAGAAATAATTGATCACTCAACAAGTTCCATTAAATATCTTACACCATATCAAGTATAGTTATTCCATATATCAAACATACTTGATTCAAACACCATCTTCTCATGCTACCTCACAAGCATGATTGATTGACTACACCAGCTGATATTTACAACATCAGCATTACCTCAACTTCAAAATACTCAGTCATATCCATGGAAGCTACAATAATCAAGAATACAAGAACACACCCTCATTACTTCAATAGAATTATCTTTCTCTACACAACAGTGTAATATTATTATAATCATTTACAAATAATAAACATTGTTTTACTAAATACATGATATTTTTTAGTCTTATCACTTATTGTTTCCTTTGAAGTTATCGGCCGAGAGACTAATCTACTGAACTATTGAATTGGTAGTTCGAGCCATAACCAAACCTTTAATATCGTACACTAGGTATTGATTTATTTCTTAGTTAGTTTTCTATTACATTATAATCTGTTATATATTATTATATTTATGATGAAAAAACACAATATTATTGTTCGGGATTGAACCTACTTCCAAGACCGTTGACTATCGGCATCGCTAATCTCTGTAGCTCTAAAATTTCTGTAATCACTTGGAACGAGAATTTTTTCGTGTACTTGTTATGTTTTGGTTTCAAATGGTCTATTATTTTTATATAGTCTTCGAGTAATAACGTCGTTTGAAATTCTCCAAATTTCCCAAGCCTTGTTTTTGTTAGAATTCTCGAAACTTTAGTTTTCTTTCTGCGCCTCATGCAAGATTTTAGTACAGCAATAACGATGCTTTGTTGCCAGTTAAGTAAGAGATTGCGTGGCTTATGAGGCAAGCATGCGACGAGCCTCGCTCTCTATCATTGAAACTCGTGCAGTGAACTCACGCAGTGAAAATCTCTCAGCAGAGCCGCTACGGAATGAA